AAGAAAGAAAGAAAGAAAGGAAGAAAGAAAGGAAGAAAGAAAGAAAGAAAGAAAGAAAGGAAGGAAGAAAGAAAGAAAGAAAGAAAGAAAGAAAGAAAGAAAGAAAGAAAGAGAAGCCTAGCTTATGCACCCGGGTTGAAGATTGACCATTATTTTTATCAAATATCAGTCTAAGGCCAAGTGCCTTAGTGGTACATGAAGAAAATCCTCATTTCATCCTTCACAAATGTTAAGAGCAGCAATTTTGACTCAGCTTCTCTTTCTTAGTAGCATTCTGTGCTCTGGAGATTCATGGGTTCGCTCTATTAATATTTAGATGCTCATTGAGTTGTCTCCATTGGGGCAGAGGCAGGGTAGCAGCAGGATTGATGCCTAAAATTTCTGACCCTGGCAGTGGAAATCCCTTTTCTCTGTTCCTTAGGTGAGAAAAAACTATAAATAGATTTGTTTACCATGAAAATGCAAAGGGCCTGTGGTATATTAATTTTTCATATGGAAAAAGATATAAACAGGTTGCAAGTTTAAATAATTTACTTAGAAGAGCTAATAGCCTCTCTTTTATCTAACTCATTCATTTTTCAAACACAGATGTTTCTGAGAAACAAGCATTTGCTGGCTCCTCAGCTTTTTGCAGTTGGTGTCTTTTTAGCGGCTCAGTGCAAACCCCAGGCGATCAGCCCAACTGATCAGCCTCAGTCCTCCCTCTTCTCGCCACAGCTGGATCCTGTGAACAGCAGTGTGAGAGGAGGAAGCCCCTGTTGGTCAAGTAGAATACACAGGTGAAATACAATGGGCAAGCAATAAAGCTTTGCTGCCAAAGCAGACTCAGTCTCTGCAGTGGTACTTTAAGAAACTTATTCTCAAGTCTCTTGGGAATACTCTTTCCTACTGCAGTTATTAGATGAACAGCAAGCTTTGCTGGGCTTTAGTCATCCTGCTTTTGAGTGTTACGCTCTACATAAGGAGGAGAAATGGCTCCCAAACCTTTTCTGGCTACATATTACAGTAGTGTTGAATCTGATAATTATGATTAATACTGTGCAGGAGGTTATGAATACAACAGTGCTAAATACAGAACTAGAACAGAAAATGTTTTGAAATGCACCCAAAACAAAATACTTCACAATATCAGAAAAAAATTGAAGTCTCTCTTTATTTACAAACAATCCCATCTTTCCGAAATCTCCATTCAAGTATCAATGTTGGAAGCATTTATTTGCCAAGCATTAAGTCTAGTGAGAGACTGAATCAGGAAACAAAATCTTCTGTTGCTTTCAGTTTCATTCCCAACATGAAAGAGCATCAGAAGCACAAAAATAAAGAGTGTGTTATAAGGTATTGCTTTCACACTGGGGAAAGAAGGTTTGAAAACATACTACCTCCAGTCTCCAAGGCCTGTCAAGAATGGAGGAATTAGCAACAAAACTGGCAGAAGAGTGTCTTAATCTTTGCTGAGCAGTGCTGGGTGCAACCACTCCTGAATCTCTACCATGCAAGGTCTGATGATATGAAACCAAATCAGTGTCTGTTTTCTCACTACAGGATGGCTCTTTCAGAAGAAAGTATAGTAAAGTAACTGCCTCCAAAATTCCACATTGTGAAGCCATCTGACAGATGGCAGCTGATGGAGAATGTGTATGTTTTGACCTAAATTACATATCCGAGGAACAAAGAGCATTCTGCACTTCGGGTGGATAGCTAAATCATGCTTACGTTATTTGTTAATGATAAGCTTAGCAGAGCTGATGATACTGGGCAGCATCTATTTTCCAACAGCGATACGACTTCATGGAACAGTCCCATGTCAATCTGATATTAGATTGCAAATATTACAGTGCTAAACAGGGAGGAGTATGAGTGCAGTCCCTCTGCTAAAATTTCTTCACGCAAAATACTCAATGAGTAGCTCTGGGTGTGAGATTCATTTACAGAAGCTGTTATCTGTTCAGAAACAAAATTCAAGCTCAGTGGGTAAATAATTTGCTGCAGACAGCTTGGGTAGATAGACTGCGGCAGGCTGGGCAGGCTGACATTGTTCTCTGTACCCTCAAAAAGCACTTCTTGGGTTATGTGCTGCAGATCAACGTAATGGAGAAGCAGAACATCAAACATTTTCTGTGTGGAAAAAGTGAATGTGATGTTTTTGTCAGCTGCTTCCAGCAGACAACATGAATCTGCGAGCAGGAAAGAGGAAGCTCTAATATAGCAAAGATTTTCTAAAGGGCAAGTCAAGCAAGCATTCTCTGAAATTTCCAAAAGAACAAGCACACATATTCCAGGCAAATCTGCTGTCCAACTGGATCTGTTTACAACCTGCCTTATCTCGGAGGCACAGCTGAAATAATAACAAGGATTTTGATGCTGGTGAGTTACTTTACATACAGCTTATCAAAACTCAGGGTGACTTGGGAACGTGAAATATTTGCTGCAAGACACAGTAGTGTCAGAATCAGAGACTGACACATAAGAATGCCCTCATTGCTGGCCAGCTTATGGCTGTGTGTTCAGGTGGGTGGAAT